CGGAGGGTAAGTTTCTCATAATCACCCCAGGCCGAAAGTCCTACACTCACATTTTTAGTAGGCCTACTATCTCAAAACAAATAAAGGAATTAAGTGATAATGAACAATAACAAACAAACATAACAAACGGAATAACAAATAAACAAACATACGTAACAAATGAAGAAATAAACTGACCGGAATTAAAAAAGAGTCATTATAGTCAATTATATCTTAATAATCAGTTCTTAAAACACAGTGTCTTGTACTGCTTGTATTATACTGTACTTGTTTCATAGACCTGACATAAAACGTTTTGTTTACCTTTAGAGCCTCTACTACATAAGGCCTACTCTGCAAACTTAAGGTTGGCATTCAAAAATATCATCTTGTCAACGTTCTTTGGTTTCAACCGGTTCCTAGTTGATGTGCATATCAGGCCAGCCTTTGAAAATATCCTTTCTGCTGATACAGATGTAGCTGGTGTTGTCAAGTACTTCAGGGCAGCTTCACTCAAACGGGGCATGGACTCTTGGTACTTTTTCCAAAATGTCAGTGGATCGGCGTTTTCCTCCAAATTTAACAATTTTGTTGAAAGATACAGCCTCATGTCATCCTGTAAGTCTGGTAGAGCACTTGTTGTCCTTTCGACGTTTTTGGTTTTTTCCAAGACGAAACTCCAAATCTTTTTCCTCTTTGTCGTTGCGGTTGCAAGGTCTTTGCATGGTGCAACGCCCTCGGAAACGACAGTTTCGTGTAGATGTGGCATTGTTATTTCTAACACTATTTCACTGACTGCATTTTTTGCACTGTCCTCGCTGCCGAATCCATATTTCTTGAATCGAGGATCAAGAATTGTAGCTTTAGCACAAATACTATTCCTGTCCGTTTCAAAGGGCGTCATCCTTTTTGAAAGTGATTTCAGTAGTTCTTCCCGGAGTGAAACTCCAACTACTGTTGAGGGATTTGCATTTTTTATTGCCTGTTGGCAACCCCTTACTAAAGGGATTACCATTGAAGAAGTACTATAATTTTGACCTGACAATTCTTCTGTCAACTCAAATAATGGTTCCAGAAGAGGCAGACAATCTTGAAGCATTCCCCACTCGTACGGTGACAGCACTTCATTAATGTTTACGTGTGACATAGCTAGGATCAGAGAGTCCTTGATTTCAAATATTCTTTTCAACATATGGAATGTTGAATTCCATCGGGTAGGCGTCTCTTGTTTAACTTTGAGAACAGTCTGATTCAGTTGAAGTTGGCACTCAGTCAACTTTGATGTGGCTACAGCGCTACTCTTAAAAAATCCAACAATCTTCCTGCATTTCTGTCTTAGATCATTTAAATCCTTTAATATAGGAAGAGAAAACACGTCGGTTATTACCAAATTAAGTTTATGTGCGGCACATCCTAAATGCTTTAATTTTAACTTGTTTGCAACCTCCACCATGACGCTTGCATTGTCCGTGGTGAGGGAAAACGTCTTTTCAGCAATACCCCACCTATTCATTATGTCTCTGATGTGGAAAGCGATATTCTCGGCAGTGTGCCTTTCAGGAACATGTAGTGTTTCCAAAACTGCTGACTCTAAATTAAAATCAGTGATGAAGTGTGCTGTGACTGTTAAGTAGCCTTGTGTGTTATTGCTTGTCCACATGTCAGCTGTTAAGGCAACATTTTTGCAGGCTAGTAGCTTATTTAAAATATTGTTTTTATTTCAACGTATCTTTCCTCAACCAGTTTATTTGACAACGTTTTCCTAGATGGCAACGTGTATCTCGGCTCTAGTGTTTGGAGAAGCTTTTTAAATTTACTGTTCTCAACCAATTAAAAGGGTAGGTGGCCTTCTGCTACCGTGTCAACGAGTAAGTTATCTATAGTCTTAATTTTAGTGTTAGATAGTTCTTTTAATTTCATCGTCCCTAGGATTGTTGTTTGATGCGACATTTTTCTTCCTGTTTTTAGTCCAGAATTACATTGTTTATTAAATGATGAAGACATAGGCCTACTTACAGTTGTCGAAGAAGCGATTGTCCCAGAAGCAGGATCACTGTTGATGGTGGCAGTCGGACATGTAGAGGCGCTAGATGAGCTGGGACCGCTGGGACAGACATCAAAGGTACCGCTGGTGCTGTCACCGGATGTTGACCTACCGATGTCGGCACTGGTGATAGTAGCAGAAGAAGCACGAGCAGCAGAACCAGAAGGTCCGGAAGCAGGGGCGGCGGGAGCAGCAACAACTGTGTCATGGGCAGATGAATCTTCTAAACGGTCGACCATCGATGCCATATTCAAAACTGTATGATGCTTGCGCCTTAGGTGGTCCATCAAATTTGTCGTTGATCCATGGAATCGTATCTCTCTTTTGCACAAACTGCAAGACGCGATATTTTGACTACACTTCTTGTAATATTCCCACACAATTGATCGTTTCGGTGCCATTTCATTAATTCGCAAACGTTACTTAAATCGCATAATAACAATACAAAACGCTGCCGTATAGTTCCGTGTGATGTCGCGATGTCGGTTACTAACTTACTTAACTTCCGTTCAACTAAAAATATATAGGTGGGGATCATACAGGATGCAGGGTTTCACGTTGAGACCTAAAAAATGTCGTTGACCCAGCAGCAATACGTTGGATACAGGATGTTGGTTGGTGGGGGGAAAATAGTACTGTAGTGACAATTAATTCTATATTTTTTATATTTATACATCTTCACTTTTAGAACAAGAACAAGATTTAATCTGAAATTTCTTCCTTTAAATCTAAAATATAAATAAATGTCGTTATAAATATTGAGTGTTGTGATGTAAAATAAAGAAATGTTCTTGTGTTAGACTGTACAAAACGCCATTTTTATGATATGATTATTTGCTTAAATTACTCTATTAATCCCGTAATAAGACGATAGGTTAAGGGAAATATTGCTAAAATGATTGAAAATAAGAATAACGAATTTTATTGACCATTCAACAATATACATACCGTACCATAATTCAATATCAATATCAATTACTTAAATACTTACATAGTAAATAAGTGTAGTATGTATTCATCATTCTCGTCAAACAAATTACAATTTTTGGATAGTTACATACCGAATTAAGTACTGTACAAAAATAAGTGTTAATAATTAATTAATAACTTGGATGTAAATCATACTAGCTGTTACCCACGGGCTCCACTCCGTTTTACTACATTAGTATTAATAAAACTATTGATATGGTTAAGTTAAGATGAAATAAACAAAACAGAATACAGTAATGGTAATGCAAACAAATAATAACAGCTGAGGTATTTTCAACATTAGGTAAATGGAAAGTTCCCTTTGGAAAGCAATTACGACCTTATAGATCAATTTATGAAATAATGGATAATTTTGCACAAGGTTTCTCGTCATGACGAACATTTTAAGTATATGGTTTATGGGGGTGTGACTTGTAGTTTTCTCAAAAGTTCATGGGTACTTTTGGCTTTATATATAGACTAGCTGTAACCCGCGGGCTTTGCCCCGTTTCACTTCTTAATTTTCAAGATGATCTCGTTCGCATGGCTCAATCATGTCCTGGTTGAAGTTCGTTCGCTACGCTCACTCACCTTTAGGTTGGAGCTCGTTCGCTACGCTCACTCATCTTTAGGTTGGAGCTCGTTCGCTGCGCTCACTTGCCTTCAGGTTAGCTCGTTCGCTACGCTCACTCGCCTTGAGGTTGAAGTTCGTTCGCTACGCTCACTCACCTTTTGGTTACAAATTAGCTGTTGTCATAAATGTAAAAGAAATAATGGTGCTGCACCCTGTTGGTAATCCTTGTAACTTTAATGCTATTGAACATCATAGAACAGAACCAACTTGTTTAATTGAAACAGCTGTTAAGATTCATTCATTCCATTTAAATATAAGTACTCATAAGATTAACATGGGAAATTCCAGAGCCACTGGGGCGGAGCCCGAGAGTCCGATCAGAATAAAAACCACTTAGTTTTCCTATTTAATGCCTAAAGAATCAGTGTACCAAATTTCAGCCTCCTAGGTAAATGGGAAGTGGGAGAATTAGTGATGAGTGAGTGAGTGAGTGAGTGAGTCAGTCAGTGAGGGCTTTGCCTTTTATATATATAGATTTGATCAAGCCTATCCATCCATAAAATTATTGTAGCACATAAAACTAGTAAGGAAAAATTTGCAAAGGGCATTCATTATATTTCGGTTCTGAATAATAATTTTATTAGAGTTAATCAGTTGGATCAACGATAAACAAGTAAAGTCCTGAAATTCAACAATTTACTAGAGTGAAGTATAGTTTGAATTACATAAATTACAACAATATTTGTCCATAAATACGGTTTGCAATTTACGAGACAACCAACTGATTTCATTCACCAGTCAGCCTCATTACAAAAAACAGTCAACAGTCAGTACGTTCTCACGACTAGTTTCAATCACCGACGCTTGACTGTTTCCAGTTACTGAGGTTGCAGTGACTCGGAAATTTAAAATAATTAGTTATTTTATAGTAACCGGTTTATAGTAACCGGACTAGTCGGTTGTTTTCTAACAATCGATTGAATCGGTTGTTTTCAATCAGTTGTTCCCATCACTACCCACAATCTCCCACTCCTTTGCAGAAAAGGTTCTCATCGGTTTCTGACCAGAAAACTGAGACGCTAATGGCCAGTAGCTTGTGAGCATGCATGCAATTTTGATCGGCCTCTAAAGAAATGTTGTGCTGCTGCTGCAAATAATTAATGTAATGAAGTCTATAAAGACCCTGCAAGTAGCAGAAACATGTGAATGCTGCCAGGGACATTCTCTAGTAAATGTTAACAATTTCTTGCCGTCAAACTAAGTTAAAATGTCACCAAATCCTAGAGCATATAAACTTCATGCATTTCGATATACACAAATTAACTTAAACCTAGATGGCCCGGCTTCAAGCTAAACTTATCATCAGAATAACTATGTTACTACAATTTGAGAAGGAACAAACACTGTATTAACTTAAAGATTAAAAGAATTTACCCATTTTCAAGAAGCTCCAGCAACTTATCACAATCTCCAACGGATTTCAAACGTAGACTTATTTGTTTAGGCCCTACTTTATTTTACTTAAAAACTTAAATCATAACCTAACCCTTGGGATTTGGGAGGAGTTGATGTTGTTGATGTGTTGTTGTGTTGTGTTTTTGAAAATTGCAAACGTCAGAATGAAGTAAACCAGGGTTGCCAATGTAAGCAAAAAGCAAAATTTAAAGAATAGTGTAATCATTATATTACTTCATCTATGTTATTACTCGTTTCTGGGGTTATAATGGTCATTGGTCATAAGCACGAATACATAAAAATGTTTTATTCTAGTATTAGTTTTTTTAACAGAGTGCCAGGCTTACAAGTGACACTGGGATTACATCGCAGATGGAACAGCTTATTTTGCACCCTCATTCACAGGTCCTCATTCTCCATCAAATTCCAGGTCCTAGGTGAACCATGAGATCCTTTTGCCTATATGGTAACCTTTTCTTCCCTTTGATCTTCAGTCGATAGGCCAAGGCATCTCATACGCAGACCTTGTAGGGCTGGGCACATAAATATCACGTGGAAGGCTGTATCCTCTCCTCTCCAGATTTCCTACATAAGAGGCTTTCAACTTGAATTCCCATCTTGTGTAGATGTCCGCGGAATACCCAATGGCCACTGATAAGACCAACTACCTTCCGCAGGGTCTTCCTATTCAGCTATTTCTGCAGCATTCTCTTTGACTGTATGCTGCCATTATCATGTCCAGGAATTGTCCGTCAGGGTTTGAGTTTTCCCAGTGGTCCGTGTCAAGGTCAGTATGCAGCTTGAGGCCTTCTAGATCATTGCCGCCATTGATGTGGGAACAAACGCTGATACCTTCACAGCTTTCACGAGATCTCTCGCTCTCTGGGACAAGCTGTAGCGAGATTTCCCCGAAGGGACTCAACTCCTGATGCTTGACACCAGCCAAACCTTTGTGGCTGCATTGGCACAGCCAGCCATCAAGATGGAAGCTGCTTATCCTGACGTCTTTGCCACTCTAGAGTTCACTAGAGGCTTCACTAGAGTCAGCTTTGGGGGTGCCGCCCTCGCCTTTTTTTTCCCCAGCAGCCTGGTTCCCGGAGGAACTGGCTTTGCAGGGAGCAGGGTTCGGGTGCTTGGCAGCCCACGCCAGGCTCCTCTCACTTCTGGATAGCACCTTTTCGCCTTTGGCTAAAAGATCCTACCCCTCCGATCAGCTATCCTCCGTCTTCGCAAGTCACCCCTGGAAAGTAGTTTTTTCGTTCCTTTCCGGTTTACGCGAGCTTGTCGTCATCGCCAGATTTCAGTTGACCTTCCTTCTCCATACGGGTCAGATCGTCTACCGTAGGGGTTCCCACTGGTTCCCAGAAGGCTCAGTTAAGACACTGAATATTAGCCCCCAGTGCCCCGAGACTCTCAGCACGGATCGCATTATACATTAGTCTAGGGCCCCCTTCACTTGGTTCTGTAGGTGGAGCTAGTGAGAGTTTAAGTTTAGGTGTGGCCAATCTTCCGAACCAACCCCACATGCGATGTTTGGCCGGAACGGTGCGAAAGGTTCTCCGACTTTCTAAACCCCTACCTTTCTCTAGTATTCGTGGTCATAAGGGGAATTTTGTTAAATCTGGGGTTTTTAACAAGTCTTGTGGATTTATTCCGCTTTCAGGTATTTTAGCTTTTGTAGCATGAGGATGAAACAATCATTATATATTATAGTTAATTATTCAAAACAGATAGTAACAGAACAGTTCCGCAAAGACGTGACCTCTGAGACTTGTGCTCAATGCTTTATGCCATGTGAATCGGTAAATCGAATCGAATCATCACCTTTTTTCGTTTCTTTTCTTCACCGTCCTTGACTGACAACTGACAACGACAAGTGACAATCTGACAATAGCCAATTGGCGCGCCCCAAAACTATTTGTGTTTACTTTACTAACTTACTTTGACTTTTACTTTATCAAATATCAAAACCAAACGAATTATTGGATTAATTTGTTTGATTGTGATTCGGATTCAGTTTCAGATAGCGAGAGAGTTTAGTTTGTTGTGGTATTGTGTAAATACATAAACTTATTTTTTGAGCAAAAGAAAAGAAATACCGATTACTTACAGAGACCTTGTCATAGGTATCTAACTTACCGGTATCTGTGGTAGTTGCCAGTTACCCTAGTTGGCCAACAAGAACAAACAAAAAGAAGTTTAATTTACTACCAGTGAATATGCCGAGCGATCAAATTCAATATTCTGACAGATATTCGGACGGAAAATATGAATACAGGTAAAATTGTTCTTGCTGTAAGGTTAGACTTGACTTAAACTTCGTGTACTTATAGGCCTAGGCTCTATGACTGTTGTCTTAATCTTTGACTGATGTTTCTATGATTGATTGCGTCATTTAGCTAAATAAGCATATTTACACTAGTCAAAATTAGGTAGGCTACTTTATAAAAAATTAAAATAGCCTACTTTAGGCTGTGGTAACTTATGTGAGACCCTGTTGCCATACTTTTCAAAGCCTGACATCTTAATGTTTCAATGAATATGGTCACAGCCAGGGTTGCCACCTAAGGTCAGGGGAAAATCGGGACATTGCCCCCCTCCCTCTCCGATAAACATTGGCTTAAATACGGGCATAAAGAACCAAAATCGGGACTGTCCCGGCAGAATCGGGACGGGTGGCAACCGTGGTCCCAGCCTACCGGTACCTAACACTTCTAGACGGTACAGGTAAGAAATACCTACAGTATTTTTGTGAGCAAGTGCTGTGTACAATCAAGGTCTGGGTACAGTTCCGCAGAGAACCTACTTACTATTTATTATTGGATGAATTATTCATTTGTTAACTTAGCCTAGGCTATATAGCCTATACTGTAAAGGTTTGCGTTTTAGTTTGAATTTAGGATCCAGGCCAGGCCAAGGGCTACATATTAAAAGCTTATCCAGGTGATAGGCCTATTCTTATCTGATCAAGTTATTCTTTATAAATATTGTTCAATGCTCATCTGTCTCTATAATTCTCCTAGAGGTTGAAGTAGATGGACTAAAATTTCATAAGCCTGTCTAACATCAATGTGTAACTTAACTAACTTAACTTAAGTACCGGTACGTAACTTTTAACTTAAAAATGATAATAGGTAATTGACGTTAATCAGTAAACTGAAAGTTTTGTTGACCAAGGCTGGGTACATTTTATTCTTACTGTTATACTTGACCATCATAGTTTTACTTAAGTTACCGGTACCGGTACCTAATAATAATTGTAATAATGTATGGTAAATTAATAAAATATAACTTGACAAATCTATGAAGCGCTCACCATGGAAAGAGAGTAGGTAGATTAATAACTTGCTCCCCTTCAGACACAGCAGCTAGAAGATTTTGTTAAGGGTGCTCTACCTGTTTTGTAGGATCTTCTTCATTGTCGGCTTGGTTCTTAACCAATTGGAAATATATTTTGATAATTTATTAATTTCTTATTTTTGTAGACTTGTACCCTATCGTTTTATTTTTTGATAATAGTAGAATTTTAAGTGGGAAGTGACTTCTAATACTTCTAAATATGCTAAGCTTTTTTCTAAAGCATTTTACACACAAGTTTACAAAGGAATTATTAGAAGAAAATCAAAACGACACAGTCATAATTTTGAAATTAAGGAGTGAAGAAACCTTCTTTAGATAAGAAAAATTAAAATTTAACTGAGTACCGTAGGTAATTTGAGAGGACTTACGTCTGCAAGCACTTCTCGTAGCAATTCATTGGCGCAACATTGCTACTTAAGCCCGGGCTGAGGTAGAGCTCACCCTTAGTGTCTTTTTTCTTGTACTAGTAAAATAACTGTGAGGACTCATTTCAACCAGCCTTATTTCACCTCAGAGGCCTACAGGATTGTCTTTCCCGGTTTATGATCCAAATTACCAGAGATCAGCTGTTTTTGGTTACATAAAGATTAATTTCTAACCGTTAGACCTATGAATAAGGTTCAAATTTTAAATTAAAATGAAATAGGCTACATTTGGTTTTGCATGGATTAACTTGTTTAAAACAACCCGATGTCCAGTTCATAAAGCAAGTGACTCTAAATGAACAAGTTTTCCCGAAACGCTTAAACATTTTACTTAGTCCAAGCCTAGCCCTGATGTGGACCTACTTTTTTTCAGACATGTTATTCTTCCAAGTGATCTGGCTAAGAACGTCCCTAGAAATCATTTGATGACTGAGACAGAATGGAGAAACCTAGGAGTCCAACAGTCCCCTGGATGGATCCACTATATGATTCACATGCCTGGTAAGACAAAGGAAATATTAAGGTTTAGCTAGTGAAAATAGTAAATTTAGTATTATATTTAAGTACTAGCCTACTTAAGTTAGGGTTCCCTTCTTGTTGCTTTTGGAATTAGTATCATGCTTTTTTGTCGGTGGACATTCTGATTTGGATATAGACTTAGATATTCCGGTTTTAAACTTAGAGTAATCTAACCTCTTATAGTGTACCTATGTGAATTCCGACAGTGAAATCTCAAATCTCCTCATTTTACTGAAAGCTAGATACGTCTTGTCAAGAACATACATGCTTGATACATTTTATGTTTGATTCATGCTAGCCTATTTAATAATAAAAAATAAAAAAAAATACCAGATAGTAAAATCCCTGAAAGCTGTTTTTTCTTATTTCAAATATTATTTTATTGAATTAATTATCCATGTAAGAAATCCTGAAAGGGTTAGAAGACGCCTGTTCAAAATTGGTTGGTTGCGATCTGAATGTTTTCAACTTTAGGCTGCTGTACCTGCTCATCCAAAATTGTAGTGCTCCTAAATATAGGCCTATAATCATAATTTCGTTAAATCTTATCCCTCAGTTTACCCCATCTAATAATATTGATAATCACGGATAAACGATTATATATCGTTGTGATCATAGTATTGATATAGGAATTGAATTTGCCATACATTTGTCTACCTTCAGTTGACAAATATTCTCTGGGAAGGCCTTTTGGAATTTGGCAGAATTATCTTCATATTGAGGTTGAACTTTTGTCAGCTCTCTTCTCTTTTACTGCTTAGCTGATCGTTAAACCTAACGGTTTGGTTTGTGTTTTATTGTTGCAGAACCTCATATTCTGCTCTTCAGGAGGATGCGCACGGATATCAATCAAACTGCGCCATGTATGGTCACGTTTCCAAATTCTGTTTCTGTTGCTTAGCTGATTATTGAACTGTTCGGTTTGAATTTAAATTCTATTATTTTATAATATAAAAGTCATTTATACATACTGAAGAGAGATTGTTATTTTTATAAGTATATAAAATATTTTGTAAGTTATTTGGTTGTTTATTGCTCCTTTGTATCACATCTTTCCTGAGTACTCTCAATCCTTTTAATACCAAAGAATGTTTTTAATGCAATTTTATCTTAATGACATATTTATTTTACATTTATTGTAACAGAAAGTTCTAATGCTAGTCTTGTTTCTATCTAACGTTAATCTTTTGTTAAGAAGCATAGTTATTTTCATACTATGAGTCAGTGGCGGTCCCAGGGTTGCATTTCTGGGGGGGGGGGGGATAATCAATATTTGTTATGTATTTAATGGTCTTTTTAGAATGTAGATGTCTTTAATAGACTTTTTAAGACTTATTTACTCTAACCCTATTCTCTCTAAACTTACTCATTTAGGAGCTACATGGCGCAGAAGAATGTATACTGCAAGTAATTTTTTCTTAGTTTTAACACGCTGTTACTCCTAAATGAGTAGCTGTAGAGAAAAAATCCCAGGAATGAAAACGTTTAAATGGCATTTACTTTCTAAATAAATCATAAACTGTTGGGTCTTTCTTAAGAAAAATCAAAGTTGGTGGCCATATTGCAAAAATGGCGGCTAAAATTATTTTTCAACTTGACCAAAATTTTTAAAATAAAAAATCCAAGTCAGTTACGGTTTAAAATTTTTTTGATATCTTATAACTTGAATAAACCAGCTGGCAAACTTATATAAATCACCCTGTAGAAAGTCGCCGGTGTAAATAAAAAATTTGTAAAAAAAATAAACCATTACTTAAAATGTTGTCATGACGAGAAACCTTGCACAAAACTATCCATTATTTCTTAAATTATCCTTAAAGGCCGTAATTCCTTTTTAATACTTATGAAGTCAAACGGTGTGAAGCCCGTGGGTAATAGCTAGTTAAAATTAATGTTTTTTTCAATAGGGAAATAATCTGACAATTTTTAGGGACATTTTTAGTGGGAATCTAGCCAGGTAAACAGAAATTTGCTTAGTATGCAAGTTTGCTGCGGTGGGGTTATTGTTTTATCTAACACAACACCAGCTGCTGAACAAATATGCAATATTAATAGAACCCAATCTACAAAGATGGTTGTCAGCGACTCAGTTTACATTGCCAGTCTTCACACCAAATGTTCAGCCAAATATTAGCATTCAATTTGTGTGAGGCTCGACCCAGGTTGGGTTACAATATTATATCGTCTCCCGGAGCTGTTGCTGTTACATTTAATAGATTATCCCAACAATATCGTTCTCTTCTCTTGGTATACGCTCTTAGTTGAACTAATGTAAGGGTTACATTACATTCATAAGCAACTAATTATTTTCTGTAGTACCATTGCATTAGGACATGATTTTTTGACCTGGCTAAAAGAGTTCATTTCCTACTTCTAGAATGTCAAATATTAATAAATATTTATTTTATTATTCCTATTCGCTGCTATTTTGTGACAGGTTTTTTAACACCCTGAAATCTTCAGATTCTACTATTGCTTTGTCTTGAATGCCAACATAAAACAGTCATTACACTCGGTGTCTCCAAACCTATCTAACATACAACCGGATGGCCACATTTTAACGTGCTCACTCGATTAAAAATTAATCGTGTCACAGGATCGCCAAGAATTAATCGTTGTCATACATGAGATGTGGCCACCGCGAAGACAATACCGGTTACATGTTAAATGTCTTTGTTTTTTGTGTAATTGTAAATTTCAACATTATAATAAGTGGAGAATTGTCAATGGATGAAAGATAAAACATCAACGCTGATCAACAGCTAATTAAATACCCATATGTTTCCTTGGCTGATAAAAGATATCACCTTCTTTAAACAAGGTTCATTTTTAAAATCTTCAACAATATTCATTCTTAAATGTTACACAGTTTATTAGCGAATTTCCCTATAGGGAAGTAGCTATTACCGTAGGTCTCATGGTAAGACCTAGGCCCGGGACCGATTTAATTTTTCATTTTGATGTCCCCAGAGGCCAAAAACACCATTCGTTCAAATTTTTATATATCTATATATATATATATATCTTAATATATAAAATTCTCGTGTCACAGTGTTTGTCTGCAAACTCCTCCGGAACGACTTCACCGATCGTTATGAAATTTGGTGTGTAAATTCTGTAGGTATGCGAATCGGACGTAAACTATTTCCCGTTTCGAAATTCTTAAAAGGGCTCCACCCCAGTGGCTCTGGAGTTTCCCATGTTAACCTTATGAGAAATGGAATTAATGAATCTTAACAGCTGTTTCAATTAAACAAGTTGGTTCTGTTCTATGATGTTCAATAGCATTAAAGTTACAAGGATTACCAACAGGGTGCAGCACTATTATTTCTTTTACATTTATGACAACAGCTAATTTGCAACCAAAAGGTGAGTGAGCGTAGCGAACGAACTTCAACCTGGAGGCGAGTTAGCGTAGCGAACGAGCTAACCCGAAGGCAAGTGAGCGTAGCGAACGAGCTCCAACCTAAAGGTGAGTGAGCGTAGTGAACGAGCTCCAACCCAAAGGTGAGTGAGCGTAGCGAACGAACTTCAACCTGGAGGCGAGTTAGCGTAGCGAACGAGCTAACCTGAAGGCAAGTGAGCGCAGCGAACGAGCTCCAACCTAAAGGTGAGTGAGCGTAGCGAACAAGCTCCAACCCAAAGGTGAGTGAGCGTAGCGAACGAACTTCAACCAGGACGTGATTGAGCGATGCGAACGAGATCATCTTGAAAATTAAACGTAACGGTACTTTCTTTCCATCGGTCTGTCTTAGGGGAAACCTATAACTTAGGCGATACGAAGTTCGCCGGGTCAGCTAGTATATATATATATATGTGTCCATCCGCACGATAACTTGAGTAATTTTTGTCCGATTTTGATAAAATTTGGTTTGAAGGTGTAAGGCGGGATAAACTCGAACGAGTTCACGAACCAGCATGATCGGACTATGGGAACGGGGGTTTACAATACACCCGGGGGGTTTTATGGGGTAAAAATAGGTTTTTCCCATTTTCGACCCAAAAAAAAAATAAAATTTTGCAAAATCTTTTCAAACCATTTTGTAGAGCTTAAAAAAACAAATAATTTAGTATATTGAAGTGTTACTATGCGCCTAATGGTTACGGAGAAAATTCCAAAAAAATGTAAATTTTAAATTCCCATGTTATTCTTATGGAGAATGAGTAAACTGTTGTAGTTTGCTTGTTTATGAACATATTTTGATCAAATTTGGAAAATGTTTTTATTTCTTACTAACTATTAACATTTTACAAAAAAAAGTTTTTACCCTCCCTGATGCAGCAAACCTAAGTACCTGTTAAAATAATTCTATTTAAATAGGAAATAAATGTTAAATTTTTAAGTAGACATTTTAGTGTAAATCCAATCAGACATATGGAAATTCGCTTAGTCTGCAGGTTTGCTGCGGCGGGGGTATTTTAGTTTTTAATATAATTTGACCTTGCCCAAAAGTATCTTAAGTTATAGAAGCGTTAACACTCAACATAACACTTGTTGTAAGATTAAATTACTTCTTGGTTTCTTGAATTTACAGTTGCTTGCTGGATTACATTTCTTTGTTGAAATTATTATACAATATAAAAATGTTTGTTTTAGGTAGGGCCTATATGATCTTTTTAATTAATTGCATTTTCAGATTTTAAACTAGTAAATAGTAAAATAACTTAAGGATAACACAAACGTTGTCTAACCTGACAAAGTAAAAATGAAATAAGTAAAACAAAGTAAAAATATAGGGTTAAAAAACAACAGCGAAAAATTTAAAAATACAGGCCTATTGAATTTGATAGTTTGTTATGACTTCCTTGAAACCAAAATATGGTACAGCAGTTGTAAATGGCCTTAGGACGTCACTTGAAAAATGAATCATTCGGCTAAAGATTTTGTTTGTTCTCTGCATCATCTTCTGTGGGCTAATACTCTAGTCATTACTGTAGATCATACAGTTGTCAAAATAATTATATATTTTTGACATAATGGCCAACTGGTTTTAAAATTCAGAGACATTTTGTGAAATTTCTTTGAATTAATTTTTTATAGTATACTAGCTGACCCGGCGAACTTCGTATCGCCTAAGTTATAGGTTTCCCCTAAGACAGACCGATGGAAAGAAAGTACCGTTACGTTTAATTTTCAAGATGATCTCGTTCGCATCGCTCAATCACGTCCTGGTTGAAGTTCGTTCGCTACGCTCACTCACCTTTGGGTTGGAGCTTGTTCGCTACGCTCACTCACCTTTAGGTTGGAGCTCGTTCGCTGCGCTCACTTGCCTTCAGGTTAGCTCGTTCGCTACGCTAACTCGCCTCCAGGTTGAAGTTCGTTCGCTACGCTCACTCACCTTTAGGTTGGAGCTCGTTCGCTGCGCTCACTTGCCTTCAGGTTAGCTCGTTTGCTACGCTAACTCGCCTCCAGGTTGAAGTTCGTTCGCTACGCTCACTCACCTTTCGGTTGCAAATTAGCTGTTGTCATAAATGTAAAAGAAATAATAGTGCTGCACCCTGTTGGTAATCCTTGTAACTTTAATGCTATTGAACATCATAGAACAGAACCAACTTGTTTAATTGAAACAGCTGTTAAGATTCATTAATTCCATTTCTCATAAGGTTAACATGGGAAACTCCAGAGCCACTGGGGCGGAGCCCTTTTAAGAATTTCGAAACGGGAAATAGTTTACGTCCGATTTGCATACCTACAGAATTTACACACCAAATTTCATAACGATCGGTGAAGTCGTTCCGGAGGAGTTTGCAGACAAACACTGTGACACGAGAATTTTATATATTAGATTATAGTAGATGTTTGCTTTGTAACTATTTCACAAGTAAGAAAACAATTAATTACTTCTTAAGTTCTTATATTAAGACAAATGCATATTGGATTCCTCAGTTTAATAAAAACAGCTGACACTTGAGTAGAACATATTTAAATTCAAGCACACGCTAAGATCGGTCAATCCTTATATAAATGGAAATATTGAAATTTTGCAACAAAACTGCAAACTGTTATTGCTTTCACCCTA